TTTTTCCAACCCCCTGTCCACCCTTCTACTCAATTCCATTATATTTTTATTCGTTTGTTCGCTCATTTTTAATATTTTCTCCATCCACCTTTCCCCCCTATCCTCCACTTCCACCTCCTCCTCCTCTCTGCTCATGCCCTCACTAATTACTTTTTTACTCGTCCCTGATAAAAGCCAGGACTGCATGAACACTGGCGATTCACCTGGGTTTTCCTGTGCTAGTCTATCCACGCCATTTTTCCTGCCCCTGCGTTTCAGTATTTTCTTATCAAATTTCTCTACGCTGTCCGACACTTGTACAGCGAACTCAAGTAACTTGTCTTTCTCCTTACTACCCGTGCCTTGCTTCTCTCCACTCGTCCTCCCCCTTTCCTGCCCGCTCTCGTCTACCGGCTTCAACTCACTCACTACCTTACTCCCTCCTTCCGTCTCTCCTGCCTCCTTCCCTCCTTCAGCCCCGCTCACATCTACCAGCGTTCCCTCGCTTACTTTTCTTATTCCTGCCTGCCCTCTTTTATCCATTGGCGGCGATCTTTCTAAGAACGCCATTCCTACTTTACCTACTCACTACCCCAGTCAAATCTAACCACTCACTTTCTTAAAATACCCTCCTTCAAAGCACCCTACACCCCTAACAACACTCACCCTATCACCCCTGTATCACACAATACTTTTTTTTTAGTGTGTATTACAATTTGTTAAAGAACTTCATTAAAAATTAAAAAAAACCAAAGTGTCAAAGAATTTTTATTTAATAATTTATAAATAATTGAATTGACTTGTACAAAGAGTTACAATTACAATTTTTATTAATTAGTAAATTTTAAAATAATTTAAATTTAGTAATTTATTTAATAAAAGTCTAGGAAAATTTTACTTAAAATTCTAAAAATTTAAGTTTTTAAAATATTTCAATTTTGTTTTTGTTATTATTAATTGAATTGAAGATGATTGAAATTTGATAAAGAAGTAATTGAAAGTTTGTTAAATAATTTTATAAATTCTATTAAAATTTATAGAATTTATAAAGAATTTTATAGTAATTTTTAAAAATAATAGACGCAGAAGTTTGGTCCAGTAACAAATTTTATTTTGAACTGTTTCAATTTTTTAAAAAGGGATAAGGGAAATAGTCAAAATTCTATCTAGAAAACGCACACTTTTTGTTAGAATTGACCAATCATAATAGAGAAAGTAATGTTATTACGAACATAGTATACGTTTAGTTAACCATGGCTTATAACATGTTGGTGGAACGCACAGGCGGTTAAAGCCAACTTAACAGCGCCTTTAAGTTTAGCGGACCGTTAGTTAATCAAACCTTTAACTACGAGTTGGTGGAACCAGGCATAAGTTCTGCAGTGGTCGGTTGGATGTTTTGATTCAAGAGTTTTGTAAAATGTGTAGTCTGAAGCGCATGCGCACACGGAGAAAAATATTCAAGGAGAAAAAAACGAATGAAACAGAAAAAAGAATTTCTTAAAGCACCAATAGACCTTTTCATGTCGAATAATTTTTTCTCAATAATTTCCGGTCGGTCATATTCAAGTTCCTCATGTTAATACATGGTGAATTCTTGAATATGACCGACTATCATGGCGGACTGAGATTGCGCATTCTTCATTTCCTATTCGAGATGAAAAGGTCTATGATGCTCTTAATTTACACATTTGACTACTATTTGTACTATTTAATACTATTTGTAGAGTGTACTCTACAACGCAATGGTTCGCTTTGAATGGCTTATTTTATTCTAACACTAACTTAACGGAAATACGCATACATATAAACGAACTCTGACGCAACGCATATACAATATAACTCGCACTGTAGATGAAAGAATTGAATTTTTTATATACTAATTGAGCAGATTAAACTGCTCTTGTGAGAAATATCAATATACTTAATATTAATTTTAAAAAAAATCATTTTTTTAAAAGTTATACAAAATATTTTATAATTTTTAAAAATAAAATTTTTGAATTATAATTAGTTATAAAATCTCTATAAAATTCTTATATTTTTAAAAATTATTCTTAATTTTTAATTATAAATAATATTGATAAAAAAATTTCAAAATTTAATTCAAACTTGATAGACTAAAATTTACTGGAATGTAAAGTAAAAGAAATTAATAATTAAAACTTTCGATTACAGAACATAAAAAAGGTTATACTTGAAACAACTTAACAACGTAAGGTAAAATAGTTAAAAGAAAACAATATGATCCAAACGTTACCGGCAGGTAAAGCAGTTCTCTTTTTCCTTCCACATATTGATCATCCGTATACTAAGCAGACAAGTTAATACCAACGCGATGAGACAAGCTTTAAGATATCTATCTATAACGCGACTTTTGGTACACCCTGTATAGAATTTTACAAAACTCTGTTCTAGAATTCACAGCAGACAGCGAAGTGAAGACTCAAACCACGTGTTATTTAGATTGTACGAAACATTTTTCACCATTTTCTCATAAAATATTCCTAAGAAAATACGAAACTTTTCTACATTCAAACTTATTTTAGAAATTACAAAACTGGTTACAGTTTCTCCAAAATTGTTCTGCTTAAAGTAGTGAAAGTTTCTGAGTTTATAGCAAACTTCGTCAAGGAATCTTAAATATCTGCTAGTGCGAAATTAGTTTCGTAAAATGTACTAAACTAATTTTTTCCGTGTATAGATTAAATTTTCTGTGTAGGTTTCAGTTTTTCGGTTGTTTTCCCAAGACATATTTGTGTGCATTTTTATTATTTAGAACGAAATATATGTATTAATTACTCATAATTTATTAAGAGAACTTGATATGTAATAGTGTCCATAGCGTTGTCAAGGAAAAACTAAAATTTTTTTGAAAAACCTTTTTTTCCCCTATCTTTTACATTATTTGACCTAATTAGCTAAAAATTGGTATGCTACACGGAAAAAAAAAGTTCGAGGATTATTCGGGAACTTCGTTCTTAACTCTTGGATACGGCGGGTAGTGCACAGATAACTAAAGGTTGCCTCGTTTAAATATGTCATTTACTATTTCTCTACAAATTATAACTATTTCACCACTTCTCGGCAAACTGTTCTTGAAAAAGTCGGAAACTGTTCAAGAAAATCGAAAAGTTAGGCGAATGCAAGAAAAAATGGATTCTGCTTCCCCCCTCCCACTTCCCCTTCTTGACACGTCCGCACACACACACATTTATCCTTGAAGGTCACATACAATTTTTATTTTTTATTAAGTTTCTGAAATAGAAAAAACCATATTAGAGAAAAATCGACGGCGGCTGGAACAGAACTCGCGTACCCGAGAATAGAAGTCCGGCGTCTTATCCAGCTGAGCTAAACAGGCGAGTTAAATACCTCAGCATAAAATAAATATATAAGGCACGCAAGTCTTACTGACGGTGAGACTTGTTGAGACTGGTGCGCACAGTTTCTGCGCACCAAGATTCCTTGACGAGTTCCCGAAAATTTCAGAAACAGTTGCGGCCAGTGCCATGAACTTTACATGAGAAAGTAATGAAAAAGAGACTAATGGACTATTTATAGCTTTTTCTAATACAGTTCCCGAATTTCTTTCAAACATTCATTACCATTTAAGAAAATTTTTGAAAACCAATTTAAAATTTTTTTTTAAAATTAATTATTTTTGATCAGCAATTTTGGTTCCTCTACTTATTGCTTACAATATTAGACATACCATACTTCAATATATACTTCTTTTTCATTTATTTTTTGTACCAAATGATTGTAATATTGATGTACGGAACCCGTCATTTCAATGCGAGTGCAACCCCGCAGTTGTCCAATTTTTAGTTCCACTCAGGATGGAGTCCCATGGCACCGTTTTGCGTTGCGTTTTGTAACTAGGCAATGAGTGTGAGAGAGATGGAGATTTATGTTTGCTATATTTGCACTCATGGGCTAGTTACAAAACGCAACGCAAAACGCTGCCATGGGACTTCACCCTCACCCTCAGTTTTACTTTTATATTAAAAACCAAAACAACTAAATTTAGGTTTTAAAATAAAAGATTTTAAATACGTTTAGGTTGCCACCCCTGAATAATTTTTTCAATTATTAAAAAATTATGTTGTGAAAGAAAATAGTTAAATGAACAAGAATTTAAACGATACACTATAATAATCTCTCTCAGGTGCTCAGGTGATGAGGATAAGTGTTTAAAAAATTTTAATTTAACTATCTCTCGTTAAAACCAAGCGACGAAGAGAGACTCGGTAATGCGCGGTGGCTCCTAAGCTCCTAGTAAATGTCATTTGGTCTGTGAGGATGTAATTTTCGCTACATACCCGGATTAGAAGCCAGGTCGTCGCATTCTATGTTTCCCGACATGATAAGTATTGTCTATCTCGACTTTGAATTTCTCTCTAAAATTCAATTAATTTATTGTACATTGAGCAATAATTTTTTGTTTGAAAATTCTTATGAATTTTGAAATATTATAAGAAAAAATGTTTGCTTCCCATTTTTTTCTATAAAAAAAATTGAAAATAAAAATAGAATAAGTCTTGATAGAAAAAACACGATGACGAATCAGAGAAGAAGCTTAAGTTCTGAATCGCCCAACAGTACTAAGGAAGGACAAAAATTTTCCAACGAGAAGCCCCTGTAAGACGGGATAATCTGATCATCTGGGTTCCAATGAAAAAAGCTTAGAAAGGAAAAGACGTGCATGTTCGCGGAGTTGTGCTTGAATCCATTTTCAAATAGTTTTGTTAATCGTCCTTCTACGAAATTACTTCTTAACTTCTACCGTGGATCTCTCTAATCACCTAACAGCATGCTATTATGCTATTTAGGATCTTAATAAATTTCAGCTTTCTCTTCATTTCCTTTCAAGATTTTCTGAGACAAAAATGTTTTCCTTTTTTAGTTAGATAGACAAAACACAAGAGTGTAATAATTTGTTAAAAAATTTAATTATTCAATGAAAGTTATTTTTTGAATGAAATATTTTTCATTCTTTTTACAAAAGAACTCAAAAATTTCCATAACGTTGCAAGTATTGCATTTTATTTTCTCTTTAGACTCAATTTTCTTTCTATTCGATAAATTATTTTCCTTACATAATACATACACGTAAACAAACATAAATTATCGTCCACAATTATTTTCTCATATGAGTTACTTTTTTCTAAAAACAAATGAGTCAACAAAGAGAATTATTTGAAGCAAAAATATTAAATTTTCAAAGAGCAAAAGTCTTTACAAATGTATTTTAGAATTCAGTTTAAAAAAAGAGAAATTAAACTTTTCATTACACATTAAGATGAGCAAACATTTTAAGTTCTTCTCATCCCAGTTGTCCAAGAAGTTTGAAGTTCCTTTGACTAGTGTCCATATCTAAAAACATTAATTTTACAGTTGTAGTATTTTATAATATTAAAGAAAAGTGTTTATATGAGGAGCAATTTTTCAGAAGTTGATAAATTCATTTTTCAATAAAATTGAGATAAACACATATTTAAAATACTAAAATCCTTAGAAATCGATTTATCACTGTTCAATATAAAAAAAATTTATTACCAAAGAATTTTCAATTTAAAAAATATTTTGGCCTAACCTTGATGATTTTTAATTTTAATTTTTTTATTAGACAAAATTACAAAAACCTTTAAATTCCCTTATTACAATAGACTTTAATTACAAACAGAGCGTTTTAAATATGAAAAATACTTAAAAATGAATTATTTATTACAATTTTTCTGCATTAAAGTTCATTTTAATGGTTATGTGAGAATTGTCATTTGTTTAAATTTCTCGAAATGACAAAATTTGGATTTATGAGGTTTTGAAAACTTACTCCTCATATAAATTACCAATTATAAAAAAGTTGAAAAGAAGTGCGATTCCATGGGAGATTTTAGTTTTTTCGGAGTAAGTAAACCAATTGCAATGAAACTTAGGAATTTTAATCTACACATAAAAAGAAATATTTCCACTAAATATTACGTCAAAATATTCAGTAGTTTCTAAGATGCCAAAATTTTGAAATCGTTATATCTTCTTTCCATCTTAACCAAATCACTTAATGGGGTTCCACACAGCCAAACTTGACCAGTAGAGTGCAGCACCACTATAAGATTTTATGGCGCAAAATTTTAAATGTGATTTGTTGCATAATATTAATTAAACAATATAAATGGTTTTTGTTTATGTAAATGACGAATAAAATTATTAGATCAGAAATATTGGTTATAATAAAGTACGGAAAACTATTTAAAGATGTTGGGAGATTCAAAATTAAAATGTGTTTACAATATTTTTAATGGCAGGCAACATAACCTCAATTTTTTTTATCTATACTTTTTCGATACTGCCTGTGACTTGCAAAACCGTCTTTTTTCCTGTGACACAAATTCCTCGCTCAAGTAATTTAATTTTTAACTTTTCACAATTCCACAAAAAGTATTTATTTACTTCGTCCATTTGTTTGTAAAACAAATGTGACTTTTCGCGAAATCAAAAATTAAGCGCTAGACAAATCTTGCTATGGTGCTGCCATCTAAGATTAGCTTTACGTATAGTGATCCCCATTCTTTTTGGAAAAAATTCAGCATAAAAAAACGAACAAATTTTTTGTATTATGTTTATACAAAATTTTTATAAACAAAAAAGTTATTAAATAATAATTGAATAACTTTTGAATAGCTTGACGGAATTGAATGAAACAAACACTAAAATAATCTTACCTTTGATTTCTTTAAAATTCCGAAAAAAAACCTGGCAACGAGAATGTCTTTATATAATATTTTTAATATTTTTGTTCACTTTTAAGCGAAAACATTGGAAGTATCTGCTACTTTACGTGCAAATTTAGGTGCGCGCGCAGACCTCTCTCTATGAAACCGGAAATTCGCAGATGATTAGAAAAAGAGGTCTGCGCGCGCACCTAAATTTGCACGTAAAGTTGCAGAAACTTCTAATGTTTACGATCAAAAGTGAACAAAAATATTTAAAATATTATAATTATGAAGACATTCTCGTTGCCAGGTTTTTTTTCGGAATTTTAAAGAAAATAATGGTAAGATTATTTTAGTGTTTGTTTCATTCAATTCCGTCAAGCTATTCAAAAGTTATTCATATATTATTTAATAACTTTTTTGTTTATAAAAATTTTGTATAAACATAATAGATAAAATTTGTTCGTTTTTTTATGCTGAATTTTTTCCAAAAAGAATTAAGTGATTTGGTTAAGATGGAAAAAAGATATAACGATTTCAAAATTTTTCCAAAATTTTGACATCTCAAAAACTACTGAATATTTTGACGTAATATTTGGTGGAAATATTTCTTTTTATGTGTAGATTAAAATTCCTAAGTTTCGTTGCAATTGGTTTACTTACTCCGAAAAAACTAAAATCTCCCATGGAATCGCACAGAAAATAAAAATTACGAAATGCAAATTCTTACTTTTGGAATTCCCACTCACGATTATCAAGTGGACAAACTTGACGAGTCTTCAGCCAACGGGAAATACAATGAAAGTGGAATGCATGCTAAAACATCAATTCAATTAGAAATACATTCTCAAAATTAAATAATAATTAAATCAGAAGTTAACTTTTGCAATTAAGAAACTGGATGTTATAACGGGATGCGCGCCATGTTAAGTAAATGGTGCGTATCCCCTTACAGCATCCAGTCCGTCAATTAGAAATTCAATATTGGTACAGTAGAGACCCCATTATCCGGACTAATGGATGCAGGCACCTATCCGGATAATCGAAAAAAGTACAAAATAAACGAATTTTCGATTTTTAATTTGGGGAAATCTCACGAAATGGAAACTTTTTGTTGTAAAAAAATTTATTTTTCAAATTAGTGGCACACAGTGGTCTGAGAGCCGATTCTAGCTGGTCAAATGTCAGAAAATCGAAGTATTCAAATATTAGTTGTTGTTGTGATTTTATGATTTATGATATCTATTTTGTTTGATTAAGAATATTTCATCCATTAAAAATTGTTTTTATTGCTGTATCGGAGGTTTAACCTTGTCAGTTTCGCGTATAGTTGATTTTGACGTAAAACTCACACCTTGAGTTATTTGCGGCAAGTTACCTTATAAATGTTATTATTTAAACAATGTTCAAATGAATTTTGCAGTTGGTTTTACTGGCTGTTAGGTATTGTAATACATATCCCTCTATTTTTAATTCTGGTATTAAAAAAGCACCAATGAAGGTAAGTATTTACAGTATTTGTATTAGAGAACGGAGAGGCGCGACACAGCATCCATATTGGATCCACCATTTTGAATGATTAAAAACTGACTTTATATTTGTAATCAGCGACCCTGAAAAACCCTATATACAATGTTTTAATAGAATCCACTACATTTTTAACATCCATGTCCGCCATATTGGATCCGCCATTTTGAATTTTTAAAAACTGACCTCAAATTCGTAATCAGCAACCTAAAAAACCTCCGAGTAACTAATTTTAAGTAAATTCATCCAACCCGTGTAGAAATCACCATGCTATGCCTAAAATGATTATTGGCCCTAGCTTAGACCTAACTTGGCAACCCCTTTTTATATATCCTAGGCTGGTCCTAACTTTGTACTAACTAGGAGATCCAGTTATGACTTAGAAAAATTTTTAGGAAAATAAAGTGTCAAAATTGATACATGAAAAACATGTAAAAATTGATAAATATTCTCAATTAATATTTATAAAATTATTGATAATCATATTTGTTTAAACAATTTATTGTTTGACATAAATCAGAAAACAAATAACTGAACTGTTAAAATTATCTTCATATTTTACTACTCAAGTGTAATAATCGCAAAATTAGAAAAAAAAACTGCAAATTTCTAAGTAATTTGTCACAAAAGTTAATAAAACAGTAACATTTATTTATTTATTTAAACAGATACAGACTGCAATATAATTATCATTAGTAAAATATATTCTTTAATTTCGTTCGCTGATTTTAAGCTTCGTTTAAGTTGGTGCTAAACACTAGCAGATATTGCAATTTTAATGTGGGCTGACCCACCCAGCTCCAACCCAGGCCCTACCTGGGCTTCCTAGTTTCATTAGCAAAAATTTCTAAGTCCAAATTTAAAAAATTTTTTGCAACAAAAAATTAATGTTTGAAATGATTTAGAACAATGAAAAATGTGTTTTTAACATAAATTTTTTGACATTTTTTTAAAAAGTGGATCACCCTCTTAATTAATTAGCAAAAATTTCTTAGTCCAAAAGACGAATATTTTTTTAGACCAACAAATTAATGTTAAAAATGATTGAGAACAATGAAAAACCTGTTTTTAACGAAAATGTATAGGGGCAATTCCACGGAAGATTTACCTATGACCTTGAGAATTCGGTTAAACATATTTTTTTCTCAATCTGTATAGAAAAAAAAGAAATACGTGTTTTTTTATTTTTGTTTATTCGCCCAAATTGTCGAGTTATGAATTTTCGAAATTTTGGATTTGTAACTGTAGACATATTTTCAGTAGCTTATAAGTCTGAAAATATTGAGTTTAGAAAAAACTTGTCAAGGAATGAAAGTTTTAGTTTTCTTTCAACTTTTAAGAAATGTAAAAAAAAATTTTTTTTAATTTTTTATTAAAAAAATTTTTTTTTTTATAAACAAATTAATTTTTTTTAACTTTGGACCCTTTTTTTTTTTTTTTTAAATTTATTTATACCTTATAATATACAGAAGATTTTCCAAAAAGTTTTGGAGTGGGCCGACGCGTTTAATGAGTTGTACAAAATTTTCAAAAATCACGTGCAAGGTGCTCGCGTTCTACGAAACGCCTCACAATGGAATTTTTTTACAATTTACTTCTCAAAAAATGTCTACAGACTAAAATTTTTAATCGATTTGAGTGTTTTTTGTTTTAAATAAAAGGAGAACAATTTCTGAAGATATCTCTCCATGCAAACCTAAGAATCTTCAATTGTTTATAATTTTTTTTAAAAACAAAAAGTTAACAAATTAATTGTGTAGTTTCCTTTAAAAATGAAAGATTATTTTCTTATTTTGCTACTACACATGTCCTAAATCAGATTCAATTAATATAATATACGACCACCGAATAAATAGTAAAACATAAAATAATTTATCTAAACTGTTATAAACAATATTAGTTAACAAATAGTTAACTTTGGTTCCTCTCCATAAAAAAAACTTTGTTCTTTCATATTCATATTTTACTTTAGGTTCATTTAATGAATACATCTCCCTTTCGTTAAAAGACAATTTATTTTTAATTGTTATAAACAATAATAGTTAACAAATAATGAACTTTGGTTCCTCTACACCAAAAAGAATTTTTTTCATAGTTTTCATTGAAGTTTATTACAAAGAATGTTTGTGTCAAAATAAAACAATAAACATTTTAATGTAAAATATATATTAATTGCATTTATATTATTTTAATTAATTTTTTTATTTTAATTTTCAAAAACACAAGGAAAGTAAAAAAACATTTAATACAAATTTATATAAATTTAATTGTTTATAGTTATTGAGCAAACTATTTCATACGTTCACTATTTTTTAACATATATTCTTTGTAATAAACTTCAATGAAAACTATGAAAAAAATTCTTTTTGGTGCAGAGGAACCAAAGTTCATTATTTGTTAACTATTATTGTTTATAACAATTCAAAATAAATTGTTTTTTAACGAAAGGGAGATGTATTCATTAAATGAACCTAAAGTACAATATGAATATGAAAGAACAAAGTTTTTTTATGGAGAGGAACCAAAGTTAACTATTTGTTAACTAATATTGTTTATAACAGTTTAGATAAATTATTTTATGTTTTACTATTTATTCGGTGGTCGTATATTATATTAATTGAATCTGATTTAGGACATGTGTAGTAGCAAAATAAGAAAATAATCTTTCATTTTTAAAGGAAACTACACAATTAATTTGTTAACTTTTTGTTTTTAAAAAAAATTATAAACAATTGAAGATTCTTAGGTTTGCATGGAGAGATATCTTCAGAAATTGTTCTCCTTTTATTTAAAACAAAAAACACTCAAATCGATTAAAAATTTTAGTCTGTAGACATTTTTTGAGAAGTAAATTGTAAAAAAATTCCATTGTGAGGCGTTTCGTAGAACGCGAGCACCTTGCACGTGATTTTTGAAAATTTTGTACAACTCATTAAACGCGTCGGCCCACTCCAAAACTTTTTGGAAAATCTTCTGTATATTATAAGGTATAAATAAATTTAAAAAAAAAAAAAAAGGTCCAAAGTTAAAAAAAATTAGTTTGTTTATAAAAAAAAAATTTTTTTTTAATAAAAAATTTTAAAAAAAATTTTTTTTTTACATTTTTTAAAAGTTGAAAGAAAACTAAAACTTTCATTGCTTGACAAGTTTTCTCTAAACTCAATATTTTCAGACTTACAAGCTACTGAAAATATGTCTACAGTTACAAATCCAAAATTTCGAAAATTCATAACTCGAAAATTTGGGCGATTAAACAAAAATAAAAAATCACGTATTTCTTTTTTTCCATATAGATTGAGAAAAAAATATGTTTAACCGAATTCTCAAGGTCATAGGTAAATCTTGCGTGGAATTGCCCATAGATATTTTTTTCTTAATATAATATAAAAATATTAATTTTTGAATTTTTATATTTGAATATTATTTTATTATTATTGTTGTTGTTAAATTATTTTTTATTTATTATGGTGTATTAGTGTCAATAAATACTATATTGAATCATCAAAAGCAAGTCAACAAGTTACTGACAATAAGACGTCGATGTTCAGTTAGGCTCCGTAGCATAGTGGTTTGGGTGTTAGTCTCGTAGTCCGTAGGTCATAGGTTTGATTCCCGCGTGGGTTAGATTTTATTTGCTTCTTAGGTTTGCGTTTATTCAGATTTTTCTGCATTGTATTCGTATAAGTATGCAATTTAAAGATTATATATACTGTAAAATAATTTAATTAACCAATTTCTAATTTTTTTATAATTTTTAATGTAGGGTGATGTGGGGTGATGTGCAACGTTTTTTTTCGTTGGACAAAAAACATTTCAAATAATTAAATTTTTAAATATTTCAAAATTGAATGACTTAGAGGCATTATAATAGAATATTTCTGCATTATTAGATTTTCAGAATTTTAAATTTTTCCTACAAATTTATCGCTTTTTCAAAAACGTCTGTTTTTGCATTTTCTAAAAAAGTTGGGGTGATGTGCAACACCAGTAAAATTCAGGTATGTAATGTATAAATATTGATGAAAATCTCTTTAATTATTAATTTTAGGCTTTTTCAATGCAAACTAATCGAAATATGCCAAAAAAAATTTACTAAGGTATACACGGAGAGACCGAGATTACTAATTTTTGTATAAAATCACACTAGAATTTACTATTTTCACATTGCAACCACCGGAAATAAGGGGACTTTTTGTATTTTTTACTATTTTCTACACTAAGTCACTAATCCGACAAATGTTTACCAAATTAGCAAAGTTTCTTACTATTTCGTCCAATAGTTCCAAACA